CTGTTCTGGCATTTGACATTCACTGGTATGCTGTGATGGGGAAAAAGACAGCTGTAAACCTGTCTTAATTAACCACTATTTAACCTATAGCAGCCAGCCCTGGTATAAGCTGAGAGGGGAAATTTGTATTTTTACTTCAAACAGACGGGAGTGGGTTGTTTTACAGTCTCATTATGAATGTGTACTTTTCAACTTACCACGATTTGAATTATAACGAAGCTCGGGTGTTGATTACAGCCAGTCACCTCTTGTTGGAAGTTCTCTCTTTCCTGCTTGAGGGTGCCGCAAACATCTCCTCTGGGCGGGGGGAGGGGAGTTCCTACTAAAACAGCCAACAGGCCCTTATGCTGAAGTACTGGAGGTGGGCAGGGAGAACAGGCAAGTGCACCGGGTGAGCTGTGAACAGGGAGACATGGTTGGGATGTCAACCTCCGGGCAAGAGGGGACTAATAAGAGAAGGGGGATGCTGAGGGGCTGCAGAAGGATTAAGGAGAGAAGGGGATGAAAAGAGGCAGGGGATATGGACCTGGGTGAGGGAAAAGGGAGTACACCTGGACAGCTGAAAGTGACACAGAAGAATGTGGGGGCTGAAGGTGCAGGGAATGTGGGGGCCTGGGAGGAGGCTGAGGGAGGAACAGAAGGATGTGGGGGCCTGGGAGGGTTTCGCCAAAATTTGCAGAGCATCCACACCTCAAGCGTGTTTTTGCGCAAGTAAATGGAAAGATCAGAGGGTTTCTTGTGCAATTGGTAATCCTCATTCTACGAGGAAGAATGCCTTTTTGTGCAAGAACTCTTGGGCAAAAACACATGTGTGGATGGAGAAGAGGGGGTTTTGCGCAAGAAGAGGGAAGAGGAAAAAGCACAGGTGCCCTGGTGGCTATTCTGTCCATAGCAATCAGTGCTTACTTGCGAGAGAGTATCCAGGCAGTCTGGATGCTCTCTTGTGCAAAAGCGCATCACTTTTCGATGCACTTTTGCAGTGTGGACACTCTCTTACGCAAGAAGCCTGCCATCTAGACGTAGCCTGAGAGAGGAGCGGGGGATGTGGGGCCTGGGAGGAGGCTGAAAGAGGAGCAGGGGAACTAGCTCTATATCTTTAAATAATCAGTTTTGAAAAGTTGAAATGCTGAAAGGATGGTGGAAATACTTTTAAAAGAGAGAAATGTTCTTTTAAATAGAAATCTTGCCAGGGCATAATTCTTGCCCAGGCATAATCCACATGTGATGTAGTGTTTCCTTGTAAAGCCTCTTTGTAGTAAATGCTCCTTGATTAGACTGTGCGCTCTTTGGAGCAGGGGCTGTCTTGGCATGTTTTGTCCTTTACACACCGGCCATGCCATACGCTCGCCGTGCGGTTCAGGTTTCTGAATCACCATTTTGTAGTGATTACAGGGCCAGTGATGGAAATGACGATGCTCACACTCACATATGAGCCTAGCTGGGGAAGAAGGTTAAGTGTTTCCACCACAGCAGCGATATACCCTTAGCAGGGTGTCCCATTTTGGGGATCCAGTGACACTCGGTGGGGAGGGGAAATAATTTGAAGTTTCTAACTAGGTTTCTGCAAAACCCTGTGTGCGCCTACATATGTGCTTTGAACTGAATGGACAGTGAGGTTTGAAACTCTTTTCTTATTCTCAAGTCATTTTTCTGCATAATCTACTATGTGAGTTTTTCCCTTTTATTTTCTGAGCAGATTATGAACTGGGACAATCCTATCTTCCGTCTTATTATTCCCTTTTTTACATGTTATTTTATGAGGAAATCCACTCTCTCAATGTTAACAGCTGAGCCTTTATTTGATCAGTAAGGATCCTAACAGTAGATTTACAAAACAATGAATAGTCCTGTAGCACCTCAGCCTTGGTCTTCACTAGGGTATTATTTCTAAATAACCCCCCTCAAGGTCGAATTCATAAGCAGAGAGTCCACACGATTTGAAAGCCCATTATTTGAAATACGGGGCCACTTATTTCAAAATCTGTTCTCCTATTTTTCTTGGGGACTAATGCATATTTCAAAATAGCATTCGTGTGGACTCTCTGGTGCAGCTATTTTGAAATAATTAATTACTTCCCAGTGCTTCCTGAGGCTCTAAGTTGAGGCAGCGCATTCACATTAACGGAGCCTGCCTCGGACTAATTTTGAGCATTCCCTGTAGTGTGGATACGCTATTTCGATTTTCTGAAATTGAATTGGGAGTTAAGTCAAATTTAGTAATTTCAAAATAATATCTTGGTGTACACACGCCCTCGGAGACTAACAATATAGATATAGAAATAATATCTTGGTGTACACACGCCCTCGGAGACTAACGATATAGATATAGATAGATAGTATCATGAGCTTTTGTGGGCATAACCCACTTGCTTGAAAGCTCATGATACTATATATATTTTTTTGTTAGTCTCTAAGGTGCCACAGGACTACTTGTTTTTAAAGTTATAGACTAATATGGCTACCCCTCTGAGACTTTTAAACATGCAAGGCAGTAGATTTACAGCTGAGACTCTCAGGGATTGTACATAGAGAGAGATGAGGAAGGAACGGCTGTCCCTACATATCACTCCCATGCTGCGCTCTACCAGAGGCCAAACACAATGGAGGAGACTTTGACTATGGAGCATTGTAGGAACTGAAGGTTGTGCAAGAAACCCACTTCCACCCCCACAGGTGTTACCCTCAATAGCCTGGTGTGTGTTTCTGTTTGGGGTGAATGAAGAAATCTTATTTCTCAACTTCATGGGCTGAAGCCTGGGGATCACCCCACAAACTGAACCCTGGATGAACATGCACAAGACGGTACATTATAATAAGGGCTGGATCGATGTAGGCTTCACCTTCCCATGTTCTGAATCTACCAGGCAACCTATTCTGTGAGTCGTTAAAGGACTTGAGCAAATAAGGGCTTGGACACAAGGCTACAAGGAGATAGAGAAATGTGAGCTGCAGGAGGGAGTAAGGGGAAGAACAGGAAGGAAGGCTGGCATCAGGAGTAGGGATGTAAGCGAAGGTGGAGTCCAGCAGTAGACTGAGGGCAGTGCAGAGGAATATGGGAAGCAGAAGAGACAATGTGTGAGGCACAGTGGGGAGTTCTGAGAACTCCCTTCATGTGGAATGAGGAAAAACAAGGTGGTGAAGATGCTAGAGGTTCAGGGCTTGCAGTACTTTTAGACAAACTTCACAATGAAAAGGAGAGTGGGAAGTGGGAGCCAGATGCCTTCACCTCCTTAGACCTAACAGAAGCTGGGAGAGAAAGGAGGCACACTCATCAGCTCAGCAAGGCATTCAGCTCTAAGCTAAACGGCTGGATATGATTCCTTTCAGGTATATACTCATCTTCCGCCATCTTCTAAGTCCCTCTGAAGTATCATTGATCTGTGAAAAGTCCGTGGCCTGTTGTTGTTTTTCCTAGATCAGATCCAATCCAGTGTTAGCACCGAGTCCATCTGTTTTATTTTTGGTAAAGTAATTTTTTTCCCTGCGATGAGATAAAGAGCCAGCCTGCCCCACTTCTGTATGCAGTAGAGTCTCCTCGCACTTTTCAGTAGCAACTTTATTTGGAAAAACTGGTAGACACTCTGTCTCTGTCTCATTGCATCAGCATGGAAAAACTGGTAGACACTCTGTCTCTTTCTCATTGCATCAGCAGCAAACCTTTTTTTTTAAAAAAAAAAAAAAGTCAGTACACATATAGCATTCGGCTCCTTTACTCTGATTCATTTAAAAACTGTTCTCAAAGCATAACATCAGGCATGGACCACTATCACCTCTAGAGACCTGTAAATCTGCAGATGTCCACTTTATTCCACACCTGCAGGTTGCAGACCAGATGCAGATAAAGTTTTTGTATCCTTGCAGGGCATCTTCAGCATCTGGATCTCACTCATTCCACAAGAGAGGAAGTCATTCGCTGTCCCAGATTTAGAATAGCTTGCTGAAGGCCTATCTCCAAAGCAACATCTAGTATTAGACAGTAACAAATACTTTTAAAGTGGCTTCCTAAATGCACCTGTATGGCCATTTTCTCTCCTTCTTCTATGTCTCTTGACTCCTTGCAAGGTATTTTGAATTGTCTTTGCTTCTCAGAAATGAACCTGATGCCACCCAGTGGGAAAGAGACAATGCTGCAAGAAGCAAAGTAACCTAGAGAGGATATTTTTTTCCAGGGGCAGTGACTGGAAGAAGCATGTAATAACATCCTATAAAACTGTATCAGGTATTTTTTGGTGGATACAGGTGTGCAGATGTGTATCACAGTACATGGAAGGAAAGAAAAAAAACCTGCATTTTAACCCATTACTGCCTCAGGGCAGAGATGCAATTTACTAACTTACTATTGGAATCACACCATATCTGAAAATTTAAGTAACATTCTACAGTGGAAAATGACCTATGATTTCTATTCTTATAAGGACAAGTCAAATACATTAACAGTTTGTGTTTCAACTGCTTTTCCTGAGAAGAAGTGTTCATATTAATAGTTACATATAGAAAGGATGATTGTGTGATTAAGACATTCGCCTGGAACTGAGATTTAAGAGATCTGGGTTCAGGTCACAGCTCTGCTACAGATTTTTGTTTGACACTGGTCCAATCATTTAATCTGTGCCTGAGTTTCCTAGCTGTAAAATCAGGGAAATAATATTTCCCTCCTTTTCCCTGTCCTCTCCATTTGTGTTGTAAGTTCTTTGGGGTTACAAACTGTCCCTCACTATGCATATGTATTGTGTCTGGCACAAAGAAGCTCTAATATGGACATACCTGTAATATAAATATCACTATATATATATATATATTAACTATAATATAAAAAAGAGTTTTCCAAAATTCTTCTCTAGTAACTGGGCTAATAAAAAAGCAGCTTATAATTCTGCCTTCCTTTAACTTAAAACTATCTAACGGTGATCACTCCAGAGAACAAGAGGGAGTTTTTTTTTTAAGTAACACTCATTGGGAGAAGCTAAGCAAGCAAGCGGGCTTGACAACTGGGGTGCAGGATGCCTGAGCAGCTGCTGGAAGGAGTTGGAATGACTGTGATGGATGAGATCACGGGACAGTATAAGCTGCCAGAGGTAGGGTTAGATTGGTTCTCACTTAAGGGTGGTCACCAAATGGCTCCTAAGTCCCTCCCCTACATAAGTTGCTTCTGGAACCTCAAGCCTCCAGTCATCTGGATCTCATCTCTGTTGCTGGAGTTATTCTACAGCTCATCCCTCATAGTTAATGAATATACCTAGTCCAAGAACCTTTGCTTAGCTTGCTTTGTTTGCTGAAACCTGTCCTGAAGCAAAGTCCAGGCCACAAAAATGACCACCCTTCCTCCTATTTTACAATTCTCATTGACCCTTGCTTGGTTGGGGGCATGTTGTATACAGCTATTCATTACCCACCCTTGCCTGACATTAAGGCAAGGGAATGTAGTCAGGACCAGGAGAGGCTGAGGAAATACCCCTTAGCTTATGGACAACCGAGCTGTCCAACTAAACCTCTCCCTGCCCTTTTACGGTGGCTTTTAACAGGCATCATTCCTCTATAGTACCACTCAATCAATCACCTCACAGCACAGTCCATCACTTATCCCTTATTCATCACCTACACTCCTCTGACAGTGTGCAACTTACATCACAAACATTAAAATCATAGGCCTTCTATCCTAGGATGTTGGGGACTATTGTAGAGCATACAGAACTCAAAAAAGTCCAAGTCCTACAGGAGATTATTGGCTCCTTTAATAGAATGGAATTTTGGGAAATGTAGTTTGCCAGGAGAGCATCTGTTTAAAAGGGAATCATATAATTAGTGTACTCTGGGCCATATAAAAATCAGAGGGGTGACATTACTGGAGAAGGAGGTAGGGGAAGTGCTCAGTGGTAAGGACACCTGAAAACCAGAGGAACTAGTATCTGATGAAAAGGTTCTCTCAAGAGAGGGAAAAGAAGCATGAAACCTAGGAAGCTGTGGAAAAGTGAGAGAGAAGAAAGGTCAGAGAAGGCAGCTAAGGGGGTGCAGCAAGAGCAAAAAGGCCAGAGACAAAATAGAGTCAGCAGGATTGCAAGTCCCAGGTGTTCAAAAATCATGAGTCAGGCCTCAAAATGTAATGGGATTTTAAAAGAAACCCCAAAACAAAACCAACGTTTGGGTTCTGTTATTTGGTATCTGCACCCCTTCGGGTGCACTTTGTTCATATTTTCAAGCTATTCTCTGGATCTGTGAGAGCTAGAAATGTATTTTTGTGTTTTAAATGAAAACAGAGATGGTCATGTAATCACTGTGCCCAGGACAGATGCTTTAGAGAGCTGTATGGTCCAGGAACTTTAAGTAAAACATGGTATATTGTGAGACTTATGATAAAATAATGGGAGCCAGCCACATGGCATTAGTAGGCACTGGAGGTTTACCTAGCGGTGCCCTATGCCTGCAGATAGTGGGGTGGGGGGACAGAGTGAGGGCAGTCAGCTTCATGAGGGTTGCTGAGCAAATCTGGGGGTGGGGGGCATGCCCCTCCATGTGTCGCCTCATTCACCAGTTTATTTGAGGTTTCTAGGGGTTCAAAGGGAGAGGAAGTCCCCATGTACCCTCAGTGTAAGGAGG